GAAGAGCTGCAATTTTTAGAATTGAGTATGATTTAGATCATATGCAAAAAATGGTCCAAAAGCACAAAATACAGGAATCTCTTCTGAGAATTGGCCTACCTCTTCCTCAAGATCACTGTCGAGGACATAAACAAGACTGGTACCATCAATGATCAAGGCATTTGCATTTGCGTTTTCACCATCATCACTTGCAACACTGGCATTTGCATCTTCTAAGCTCCTCCGACAAGAATCAGCAGAGTTACTATTTATTACTATTTGCCTCATATCGCCTGTCAGTAGCCGTGATGAGTACCCGATGGATATAGCGGTTTCTTGCTTGTCACCGGTCAAGACCCATACTTTGATCCCGGCGACTCTGAGAGACTCTATGGCTTCCGGGACACCGAGCTGCAACTTGTCTTCGATTCCAGTGGCACCTATTATCCTAAGATTAGCCTCGATGTTTCCAGCAACCTTTCGTAGCAATCCAGCCCTACCGATGAGGGCAGTGCTTGCAGATTCAAAGGAAGAATGCCACTGCTCGAACTCCGAGTCAGTCAGTTCCCGCATCCCGACAACCAGGGTTCTCAGACCACTGGATGAGTAAGCATGAAGCTCTCTCTTTGTAGCATTTATGATGTCACTGTATGATTCATCCATAACAGTTAACATGGACGAGTCAGCACCTTTCACGAAGAGTTTCACGGTCATGTCAGGAAAACCTAGTATGACCGACATTCTTTTCCTGTCACTATCGAATTCATGCAATCCCAAAACGTTAAACCTGCACCGAGCAACGAAGAAAAATGAATAAAGAATGCAAGGAAAACCTCTGATACGAAAATGTCATGACAGAGTAAGAGAATGTCCGGTTTACCTTTTGGTTTCCCCTTGAATGTTGATATCTATGTGTCCGGATGTTCTTTCTATGAGCATGAAGCCATATGCAGCTGCTGCATAGACCAATGCTTGTTCATCCGGAGATTCCCCTTGATAGTCTACCAACTTTACATCGGGATCAGATGTATCGGTAGCTATTGGAACAATGGTATTGCAAGCTGCCATTGCGAGGAAAAACTCGTTCACACGTTTCACTTCTTCAGTTTCCTCGCCACTCCTCGTCAACTGCAGTAATGCAGGATCGGTTTTCACCCTCATCTTTGGCTTCAAAACCTTCCCATCAACTGTATAATCGGGTGAAAATTGGCATTCCAAAAGAGTCAGTGACAGGAAAGCATCATAGTTTAGGACAAGAGAAGTTTCTTAAAAGAAAGAAAATGCTTACCTTCAACGGAGTATCCACCGTCGTCGCTCTCAGCATCGGGATCTCTGTCAGAGTAATTTACACCCCAAATGCAGGCAGATTGAAATTCCATCTTGTTTTCGGTTAGGGTACCCGTTTTATCAGAGAAAACGTACTTGATTTGTCCCAAATCTTCGTTTATGTTCAATGCCCTGCACTGGAGAGTTGAGTTCGAAGACTCATCGTACAACCGGACATCTCGAACCATGAAGTAAGCCTGTCCAATACGGACAAGCTCCATCGATATGTACAGAGAAATGGGAATCATGATCTGGTATACGATGACAGCCATAAAGAATGTGAAGAATATCTCCCATCCCCATCCATAGTAATTGTAGTTTTCCCCTTCGATCTCCTCAGAGTAGTCCTTTCGCCTGTAAAACAGAATGATGTCCAAATCTTCCCGGTAACGTCTCAACCAGACAGCCGCACCGGAAGCAGCCACTGTGCACAATGCGATGAGAAACAAAGAGAGTAAGACAATCTCTAAGTTCATCCTGGTCTCTAGCCTGCTCCTCTTCGATGGTGCTCCTGAGTTATTGAGCATGGCTTTCGTCTCACGGCCCGCATAGACAGCAACCCCGATTGCCCATGAAGTGTTCTTGAGCTCACAACCTCGGAGGATGATGTTGGATGGTCCAAGAGAGAGCCTTTTGCCATCGATTTCCATGTTGGCTTGAAACCCATATATGTTCCTGTTTGGTTTCTCACATTTGATGAACCCACTGATAAATTCCTTGTCTGCAACTTTCAGGAGAGTCTCCTGTTTCGCATACCGTGTCTTCAAGTTCGACTCTCCGTCCAAGTTAGTTGTCTGAACATATGCAACTCCTGTCGGGTCACTTGTTGACAATAGCACCATGTCACAAGGGAGAGTCTCGTTGGCATGAATCTTGATGATTTCCCCGACCCGTATGTGCTTCCATTTCTCTGTCTGAAACTGATTACCCTCCAAGAACAAAGCTAGCCTATTGTTTTCGATTCTATCAGACCTATGCCGCCGAAAATCCTCGAAGGCATCTTTAATGGCGGAAACCAACAGGACAAAGGCCAAGGGCAAGATGGATGCTCCTCTGCCGAAAACTGCCAGTTGGGGAAGCTGATTGAGCACAGCGATCACAAGGAAGTATATATAAGCAACTCTATGAAACTGTTCAAACAAGTTCTTAGGCAAGAACGTCAAGACAGAATACTTTGATGTCCTAATGGAATTCCCTGCGAACTCAAACTTCTCGTTCGTCCTGTCCGGATCATTTATGTACACCATGCGAGCATCCTCGTCATTGATCTCCTTCTGAGACATGCTCAGCATCTCAGAATCGGCCTTACCTGATCCGTGTCGGATCCGCTTGGATCCCATCTCACTGAAAGCCATTTCCCTGACGGAATTAGCTCGAGAAGCCTTCGAATTGATCGAAGAGACGCTCCATCTTGACGATGCACTCAGATACGGATCCTGAGGAGGAGGAGGATCTGCCGAGCTTCTAGATTCCATCAAAAGGGCGAGTAAAAGATTCCAGAACCAATCAAAGCTTCACAGAATCGTGGAACAGAAACTTAGATACGAACAGAAAAGATTCACGCTTTCAGGCTAAATTCATCGAACACCTGAAGATGAATCGCGCGAAAATACCCTAAACCCAGAAAAGAAACAATGGTGGGAAACACCCAGAGAAGAGCTCAGATCAGCTAAAACACCAAATCCGAATCCAAAATTAGAAACTAAAACCCCATGGAACCCAAACTACACTTTCCCGAATAGTACACGAAAAGAGAAGCGATAAACGATCTAAGAAAAAGACCTACTTCAAATGGGCAGATCCGATTCTTCTCGAATATTATTTTGCCCGCTCAAAAAGTCATCTTAGAGATCAGAGAGAGAAGGGCAAGTGGCGAAAGCGAATACGTAAAGATGTGAAGACGGAGAAGAAGGAGATAGACTAATAAATGCAGCTATGCGTCTCGTCTTCGACGACTCTTCTCTCTCCTGGGTCTGCGACGGCGACGAAGAAGAAGAAGAAGAAGAAGGAGACGCGTCGGAAATGGCGAATTCAACGAAGTGGGGCATTGTTTATTGAATTTTCCCAAAGAGAGGGAGTTAGAGAGAGAGAAAACAGAATCTGGACAAGAAAGGGAAGAAGGTCTTAGGAAGAAGTCGCCATTGGCTGGCGAGGCGACGAATCAAAATTATATAATATTCAAAGTGTCGATTTTTTTAATTATTATCTGATTTCCACAATTCCCTTTGATTTATTTCATAACCAAATTGAGAAGAGATGGAAGAAAGGAGGAAAAGTCTCAGCTTTGTATTAATACGACCGAAAGGTCTTGTCTTGTTGGCTCAAGAGGAGGCTTCTAGAACAGCAGCCGATGATTCATTATTACAATTTTCTCTTTTTTTTTTAATTATACCCCTCGTTTTTATCTTAGTTTCTAAATGATTATATGATTAATAAAAATGAAAAACTGATTAGCATGACTATATATATATATATATATTAAAAATATTTTTTAACTTTACTTTATTTTATGCATAAAACTTCTTTTTTCTATAGAATGAATAGCATCCTCGCATTCTAATTCTCATTCTATTAATAACTATTTTTACAATTTCAGCATCTTCATTAATGGTGGTTGTTGCTTTGTCAAATTAAATTGAGAAAATCGTGTTATAAATAATATATGAACCGTATATACATATGGTTCCCATAAAAAATTTATCTCAATAAATTAAAATTTAAAGTCATTAAGAATTAAACTAATTATTACGAGTATATTTTTTTTTTCTTTTGATGCTTTTAGATTTCATCTAATTCATTTAGATAATTTTCTATCACTCGTATTATAAAAGCATTACTATCAGCAACGAAAAAAAAAACATAAAATCTATAAATAAACTTGGCGACCTCTAATCAAATACTAAATCCAAAAACAATAACGAGCTATAAACGAAAGAGCTGCAGATTTTATAATCAGGAATTTTGAAAAAATAAAAAACAAATTCTGGAGCAAAATGTAAAGAACAAAAGTTTAAGGGTTGAAATGTAAGTATACGTAAAATTTGGTACTATTTCCCCAATTGTATCATCATCATCTATAATTAGTTTCAGTTTGAAACAATCAATCAATCAATTAGTTAAATGGATATGGAATAATCCTTGACTAATTACTATATTTGGATGATAACCATATGATCCGACGAATCCGAATTTGAACATTGACGTTTTATTTTTCGATTTAAAAAAAGTTTTGTAAACAGTAATTGGGATTTACAAGACATGCAATTAGAATTTATTTTATTTTTTAAAATTGCTTATATGTATAATATTCAACACACACATATTACTGAGATGAAATCATTATTTAATCCGACAGAATAAAATAGGAAAAAGACGAACTAAATAATTCCGGAGTACTTCAGGTAGTGTTGGCCACATCATTTAATAATAATAATAATAATAATAACAATATATAATGATGAATAATTGCTCAAATATAATGGGATTTTATATTTCAAATTGCACATTGGTTAAAGGGTAATAATCATATTCCGAACATGAATATTATAATATGGACATTGCTAACATGTGATATTATTACGTGGTCATGGTAGATACGTGGTCTTGTCACCCTTTTTCTGTCCATTCCCGTATAGAAAATTCCAATCTCGTGTTTTTTTTAATGAACTCTTACAACTATTTTTGGATTTTGTTTTTAATTTTTTATTTATAAAGTTTCATATTCAAATACTATAGTTATCCATAACTATGATTGCGCTAGTTGCAGAGTGATTCAGATGTGATAAAATCATTTTTAAAATTGTGAGTTCGATTTTACTAATAGAGCAATTAATTGCGTGAATAAATACTGATATTGTATCCAAATCGGCTGGTTATAAAAAAAACAAAAAAAAAACTATGATTGCGTTAGTAATATGGATGCAAAGAAATATGTAGAAATGCAATTTATTAATTGTTTTTGCCCATTTAACTCCGGTTTCACGACGATTATTATTATTATTACACAACTTAAGATTTTTGTTATAAATATAACTATATGTGCTTAATTAAACAAAACCAACAAATTCAAAAAGTCAACCAACAAAAAACACTACGTTTTTTAAAAAAGAACCTATTTTGATAAACATGTTCATAATTGTTTTTTGGAATCCAAACCCTAATTCACGACAAGGTTTTACGTAAGGAATATGTAAACATTATATATTTAAGCATTTTTTGTGGAATATTCACATATTCGCTGTAGTTTGTAATATAATTTGAATGATAAGGAGTTTTTCATTAAAAATTTCATTAACAGAAATAAATTCATGAAAGTTATAGGTTAATTTAATCTTTTTTTTTTTACCAAAATAAACCATTGTTTAAATTATTTTTGATGAAAAACAATGTTCCATCAATAAATAAATAAAAATCTGAAAACGTTTTTTTAATTTCCTCCAACTGTAGAATTAAATGAGACAGAATAAGCAAAGAGTGGCATTTGCTCATCGATTACGTCATAGAGTCAATCTGCTCAAAAGTCAACGACCCGTTTTTCGGGTAATTTAATTACACAACTAAACCATTATCGATGACGTGTAATAAATTAGACAAAATAACATAAATTTGGCCACATGGACATGGGAGGACCGAGAGCTTCTATACAAATATTAATTTTTCTCGCTTTAAAATTTGAAAAATATTACATATTAATACCCAAATTAAATACATTAAAATATTATGTCATACAAATGCTCCAAACTTGCATGGCTCACGTTCTCCATAGTAATTTATTTCAAAATGTAAAACGTGATCACATCAAAACAAATCGATATATTTCTGAATTCGATTTTTTTTAATTTCTTCATAAAATATCTAAAGCCAAACTAAATTCCATATATATATATATATGTACAATTTTTCTAATTTTTAAAAATATTTTTTGTTAGATTTATTTCAAATCCACGTAGGAATACAACAAAAACAATGATTACCAACTGTGTTTTTACGACCTAATTAATGCGAAAATTAATAGTCTATCTAATCATCCATTTTACTAGGTTGAAAATTAATCACCCAAATAAAAAGTCTTAATTTCTAATGAAACAATATTTATATCATGGCAGAAATTTTGAAATACATAAACTATTTTATTTCATGTTGATTAGAGATTATCTTATTATACGCGTGGACAATAAAAAAAAATGAACATTTTTTAATGAAAAAAGACAGCCTAAGACTTGCTGGTTTTCAAATGTGTTTCATGTGACCCAAGGAAATAAAAGGCCCAAAAGCCTCGTGACATAAAATGGATCTCACCAAATCCCACTCAAGGATAGAGATATTCGTGTTGCCAAACAACACCACATGTATGTTTGGAATGACCAATTTATTATTATAAACATCTTTTTGGGTTTCTCATTTTCCACAAACCATGGATAATCTTTTCTGGTTTGCTTCAGATTTTTCAGCCCTTTTCCCCCTTGATAGTTGACATTATTGTGTTATATATATATATATATATATATATATATATATATATATATATATATATATAGAGA